GCCCACCCAGCCCGGCGGGGACTCACCTGCGCTCTGAGCCGGGTTTCCTCTTTTTGCTGCCGTGGGGAAGGCAGAGAAGAAAGGGACATTAGGGACAGCATCCTGCCCAGGTGGCCAGCACTAAGCGGGGAGGGGACCAGCGGATAGACAGAGCCAGATGCTTGAGCCAAATCCTGCCCGGTGCTGTGCCCTGCAGCAGCCGGCTCCTTCCCAGTATGGATGGGGTAAAGTCCCACCAGTGCATGCGGTTGGGTGGGCTGGCGGCGCATCCCATAGCGCTGTGTGTGTACACACACATGTGCGTGTTGCACCGTCGGTGCATGCAGATGTGTTGCACTTCTTGAGGGTGCACTGCTCCCCAAAGCGGGGGGACTTCCCCCACCAGAGCCTGGGGAAGGGCTGAGCTGGGAGAAGAGCTGCCCTCCCAGGAGAGGGGACAGCACAGGGACAGCTGTGGACTCACCGGCTCCTGCGGTGACCTGATTTCTTTTTCTTTTTTTTCTTGGGTGGAGGAGAGGTAGAGCTGCTCGAGCGTCTTTTCAGCCTGTGGGAGAAAGCAGACAAGGTTGGGGGAAGAACGGAGGACCCTCAGGTTTCTGTGTCCCCCGACAGGGACCCCATGCACACCCGCTCCCCAAAATCCCAGCTTCGGGTCAGGCCGGACCTGTACTCGCGGTGGCCGCTGTCCTCACGGTAGCACTCAGCCGAGCAGTCGCACTGCAGCAGGCAGCCCTCGCCGTAGTCGGGGTACTCCACCGCGTACTCCTCCCCATCCGCCCCATGATGGTTTTCTATCACGCTGCCGAAGGAGGAAGCTCAGGATTAATTTTGGGCTCCCTGTTCCCCATCTCCCACTGGAGCGGCTTGGGGGGGAAGCCTGGGGGCAGCCCCGATGCAGCTACAGGAGCCGAGGGGCATTCCCTCTGCCACAGCATCCCCAGGGGACCTTGGTCATGTTCCTTGAGGGTCCACCTTCAGCAAAGTCCCATGGTGGGGGTGGTTCTCAGGGTCTTCCTGGGGCTCCTGTCCCTGAAGAAATCCCCGTTGGGCTGGCACAGGGGCACTGTGGGGCTCGGGCCATCATCTCCCCACAGGGTTCGGCCTCAGCATCACTAGAAGCCCCTTCTGGCATTGCCCAAGTACTGGGGCTGAGCAGGAGGCTTGGGTCAGCCCAGGTAGGCTGTAGGGCCAGATTAGGGTGAGAGGAGCTGGCAGGAGGCTCAGGAGATTCATGAGATTATCTGCC